TGCGTTTATCCGGCGCAACAGCAACTGGTTTCTGCATAATTTTGTTGCGAAAGTTCTGACGCGATTCAAAGATCACAAGAAACGCTCCGCGTCTCGTTAATGCTTTCCACCTAACGTCACCGGTGTCATGATTCTATCTACTTATAGCTGAGAAAATATGTTACCGTCTAAACTGGTATTCCAACAGTTTTAACGAGATAAACATGATGCATTGCTGGTACATGATATAAGAGAGTGAAAATAATACTGGTTAAACACGAGGAGTTTGTGATTGGTTTCTATGAAATAAGGTAACGTGCGATGAAAGTTAGAAATCAATAGGCAATTGGACGGTGGTTTCTGTTGATGAAGAATTAGAGATCGTATGTCATTAGTTGTCAATGAAGTCTGAGGGCGCTAGCGTAGTTGCAGATTTAGATTATGTAACCATAAATGGTGGACCGCTGAACAATGACAATTTAATTTGAATAAATTATTTTTAATTATTTGAGATTTTGATAGTTTTTAAAAATATTATATGCCATGTACCAGTTTTCAGTCGAAGATTACTGTATGTTGTCAGTTTGACAGTTATCAAATAGCAGGATACAAAATATTTTATTCAGGAATCTACGCATTTCAGTAGCTTTTTACATAAATATAAAATATATTAGAAAATTATATTTTTTAACTAGTTTAAATTAAAGTTAATTTCACTGGAAAAAATGTTCATCCACAAAATGCGTCTAACAAAAATTCAGAAACTACGGAATCACAATTTATAAAATTTTTTGTGTTTTATTTTTAGCGCGATAGTTTAATCCATCGTCGTCTTTACATCTTCAAATTTAAAATTTCATACTGCACTGTGAGTAAAATAGAATAATCATCGTTGAATTATGGTAAATAGGTCGTCGAAGTTGCCTGAATATGGAAAAGCAACGATGAAATTACTAGAACAATGATGTTTCAAAATGAAACCAAGAGAAGAGAGCAAGAAATCAGAGAATATAACACGACAAATATTTCCAGAGACAGAAAGATATATCGAAATAATATGTTGTCTGTGTATCCTGCCACATACGATTCTACTGTCATATTTTTCCAATATACGATATTCTATGGAAATATTTTATTAAACAATAAGAAAAGATATAATAGCAGTAAGTAAAATAAACAGTAAATATTTGATGAAGATAAATCAAATTATCATTTATTTCCCAGTTACAGAGATTAATTTTTTTTATGATAAAAGTGTGAGACTTTTATATGGTGTTACAGATAGAACTAGCCGAACGAGGCATTTCAGAGCATAAAATGAGAATTTAAAAGTATACAGAAGATTTAACGAATTTAGCGGGGTTTCCGGGGGCGACTGGTCAAAAGCAGCAGGCATGGCGAGTTTCCATGCCTTGAAGCCCTACGTGCACGGGGAAACCTGTGGCCGCATTCGTCGAACACCATGAGTGTTTCGGCATGAAAAACACCATCGTAGCACCGGGGGTAACCAATCCGCCCGGGAGTGGTGGTGCTCACCAAAACACCGAGGGCCACTCCGCTCGGGAGAGGTGAGAACCCGGGCGGGGGCGAGCTTGCTTGCCCTGCGCTCCGGCTAGCTGTCTGCGGGATCGGTCGCACTCGAAGACGATAGATAATTAATTTTTCTAAGAAATGTACACGTGCGTGGTGCACGTGGTATATGCTCTGAAATTCCAAGTAAAACGCCAATTAATAAGTATTTGATCCACCCCGAAATGCCGGCGAACCCAGGTGCGCACTTCGGCAGAAAAGAAAGGCACTCCTCGGCGACGTCTCCTGATGCGTAATTTTCGAGAAACGAGTACAAAGGCGCGGACCGCTCCGTTTGACGGCGGGTACCGGCAAGTGCCGGCGCGACATCGGTATCGGCGCGCGGCGTGGCGGCGCGGCGGCTCGGCCGCAAAGGGCGGGCGGCATCGCAAGGATCGGTCGTAGAGGGATGACCGCGAAGCCAAGGTCGACGGAGGGCACGTGGCAGATTTCGAAGAAATCGGGTGGTTGCTAGGAGACGTCGTAGGGGAGTGAAACGTATAAAATAGACGAGGGCACCGGGCCCGCACTTCACTTCGATTCATTCTCTTATATTTGTTGCTACGCGTTTCATTCTTTATATTTGTTGTTACGAGGCTTCACTTATAACTTGTCACTACGGGACATACTTGTTGTCATTACGGACTTTACTTATATTTTGCAAAGACTTTCGTTGCGGGATCAAATATTTCGGCTTTGATTGTAATATTGATGTCACTCGCAGACTAAATTATAATACGTGTGTTATATAATAATTGAAATAAACTGTGCGTATTCACCGTCGAAAAATTGAGTTGTTCTGATACAATTTTTGGTGCCGAAACCCGGGACACTTTGACCGGACAGACGGTGTTTGACGCTATATGCTCTGAAATTCCAAGTAAAACGCCAATTAATAAGTATTTGATCTACCGCGGAATGTCGGCGAACCCTGGTGCGCACTTCGGCAGAAAAGAAAGACATTCCTCGGCGACGTCTCCTAACGCGTAATTTTTCAGAAACGCGTACAAAGGTGCGGACCGCTCCGTTTGATGGCGGATACCGGCAAGTGCCGGCGCGATATCGGTATTGGCGCGCGACGCGGCGTGGCGATGCAGGGATTCCATAGCGGATGCAAACGCATACGCGTAAAATGACATTCGGCGGTTCGGTCGTAGAGGGATGACCGCGAAGCCAAGATCGACGGAGGGCACGTAGCAGATTTCGAAGAAATCGGGTGGTTGCTAGGAGACGTCGTAGGGGAGTGAAACATACAAAATAAGCGAGGGCACCGGGGCCCGCACTTCACTTTATATTGTCACTACGGGATTTACTTCGTATTTGTCATTACGGACTGTACTTTATATTTTGCCATTGTGCGTTTACTTCGTATTTGTCGTTGCGGACTTCATATTTTGTCATTGTGCAAAGACTTTCATTGCGTGATCAAATATTTCGTTACTTGATTGTAATACTGATACTTGATTTGATATCGTAAATCAAATTGCTTTGTCTATCACTCGCTATCGGACTAAATTATAATACGTTTGTTATACGATAATCGAAATAAATTGTGCATTTTTACCGTCATAAAAATTGAATTGTTCTGATACATATGAAACATTAATAAAAGAAACATTTTAATTTGAATTCCTATAATTTAAAATGAAACTCATTTGATTTATTTCATAGAGCTAATGAACCAATTTTAATTAATTTTATAATAATTAATTAACACGTTGACCACGCGGTGGTCATACGTGACCGCTACTCCAAATTTAATTAAATTAATTATTGGCGAGAAACGCACATGAAATGAATTTTTGGGGCTTATAATATTAGGATAATGACATACATTAACATATTAAAAGACAAAATTGAAAGATTAAGTGCTATTGCGATTAATAATCCGCATTATCTGTATGATTGTGTCTGACTATAAAAAGTATCAGTTTTCACAATGAAGGTCAATTATGATGTATTATTCCATTATTCTTTTCGATAATTTATGTTGCATTATTCTACTAGTTCTTCTCGATAGTTTATTTTGTATAATTCCCCTAGTTCTTTTCAATAAATAATTTATCTGTCAGAAAGTATAGTATATTTGCTGTTTCCGATAAATTTTCGAATTACAAAAAAAAAATAAATATATTCACATTCAATATATTGTGAGTATTAAGTATTTAATGCAAAAATGTCTTCTCTTATTTCTTGTTAACGATTTTTCTTATTGTATAAATATTATAAAATATTACCCGATGAAATTCAAATAGTAAAATATAAATAGCCAAATAGCAAAATAATTTATAATCTTGTTCTAACATTTTAAATATGAAAATTTGAAAGTAAATAGTCAAAATTTTTAACCATGTTCTGTTAGGAGGTTATATTTTCACTCAATATTTGATGAAAAAGAAAATATAAAAGGCCTGACTTTGGAAAATGATCTTGCTCGTAATTAACCCTCCATGTCCTATATTCTAAATATAAAAGTGTTTATTTATCGCTTCATTTGACCTTGAATTATTTTTCAAGATAGGCTACGGAAGTATAGGTTCCATTAATGACAAAAAATACCACAATTTAATTAACTTTGGTCGAGACAGAATAATTTTATCAGATAAAGGTACATAGAGAAAACTTCAGAAACTCTAAATATGAAATTAGCAAGTTCTACATTTTTTCCACATTTAAAAATTTTTTCTTAAATGGTATTTATATTTATAGAACGCTTAACTATTACTTCTTGCGTAAGTCTGCTAAATATTTCTGTTAATACGCCAAGCACTTTTATATTATTTGTTGTTTACACATCACGAATTAGTATTTCACATTGACCATAATTTTCAATCGAAAACTCAGATTAGTAAATGCAAAGGGTGTTGGAATATTTACACAATATTTATGACATTGTCTGCGTTTGTTCAATTGTTGTTTTCTAAGAAAGGCCCTCAATAACTTTCTTCTGACTGCGTTTCCAAATACTGTTCGTGGTTTTCTTTTTTAATATTTACAAATATTAGTCAAATGAATGTTTATATACGATGTACTACATTTTAATAGTATCTGTGTCGCAATCTGGTTAAACGTGATAACATTAGAAAAATCAAAAACGACAAACGGTTACGGTAGGCCATGTGCTTTCTGTCAGTTTCGTTTTCCTATAAAAGCGTTCGGATTATGCCAATAACTGGCGTCAGTAGCGTTGCCAGTCAATAGTCGAATTTTTGCATGTACTCTTTATCGTTGGAAAAAGAAGGTAAGAAAGGAAAGAAACCATTTTCTTTCCAAAATCCCCAAATCCTTGCATCCTCATGTAATTATATCTCCAATCTTCTATGTCGAATAGTCGTCAAGGACCATGGTGAGATTGGTGTCAATAGCAATAAGTGATGAATTAATTTTTTTCAATGTACATATGTACCCATGGTACTAAAAGATTTAATTATCTTACAATAAAATGAACTTACGATTGACGTCGAGGATGACGAGTCTGGTTTGCGGTTGCACCAGGTTAGTGTTGCTGGCCTCACAAATCAGCCGAGCCTTGAGGTGTTGCCGTCCAACTTTAGGGTAGGACAAGCGGTTAACCGTCAGACCTGACTCGGTGTTGTAGTGATAGGACTCGTCTATCACGGTGTTCTCGAGGTACCACGTCAGCTTCGGGGGCGGCCTGCCACCTCGTACCTCGCAAATCAGGTTCACGTCACTCCCCTCGTTGTAGGGCTCCTCCAGCCTCGAAATATCCCTCGTCGTCCCGTCCAGTATCACCGGCTTCGACGGAGGCACTGCGCGAACACAGGGTGCATGATTGAATCAGCGGAAACGCGGATTGATTATTTGTCTGTCGGTCGAGAATGGGTGATCTATGCGTTCGATGCGTGCCGCTGTGATTTACTCATGAAAGATTGATTAGAGCCAATTGAATTCTGTTGATGCGAATGATTTAGCATTTGCTGAATACTCTTTTGTCGACGGCGCCGATTACACGTCAATAGGAAGATAGATGAAACAATTCTATAAACCGGTGTAGCGTTTGTCAAATTTATGCAAACGTTGAGGCTGTCGAGTTTGGATAGCGCAGATACAAAAGTGACTCGTTAGAAATTGTTTCATTGTTTAGCTTGTTACGGTAGCGTAATGAGCTAGAAATGAAATCGAATTCGAATGCATATTTCTCTTATTAGTCCTTTTCACTTGAAAGGTACTTTTGCTACTAACGGTTAACTCAAGAACTCTAGTTGGAAAGTTTGATGAATTTTCTTGAAGTCATTTTTTCTTCAACATTACTTGTTAAAGAATAACATTTTGTCGCATTTGATTCTGTTTTTAAGAAAACTAAATTTGAAAATTAAAATAACAATTTACTTGACTAAATTTCGTTTTGGTTATCATCTTTTTAATTTTCATTACTCAAGATATACATTCTGCACCAATGGATTCCAATGTTTAAAATCATTACATTTCACCTATATTTATAGAAAATAATATAGTATCAGATCACGCAAAAAAAGTTAGAAGAAAATGATGTTCCAAAACGAAATTTAACTAATTAGTTTATGAAAAACTTTTTAGCGAATAAGTTGAGATACACAACTCACCTATAACGGTCAGGTTCGTTTTTTGATGTGTTGTCTGCAAATTTTTGAAATCCACTCGACACCGATAGATCCCTTCGTCCCTGGTTTCCAGTCGATCGATGCTGAGGTGAGCAGGACTCGACGCCGTGATAAAAAAAGCTCTTGGTCCCAATGCCGTCGGCGACGACCAAAGGTGAGCATTGCTGAACGATCGACGACCACGAACGTCGAAACTGAAATCAGAAGAATGTGTTTTTTTGTAATGCTTCAAACTCGATTTCTTTTTATTTAATATTGCTTACGGAATTTATTTATTTAATTATACAAGTAACAATAACTCTTTGATACGAAGATAAAAACATCACCCTAAATGCTATAGTTAAATATATGACAAATCCAAGAGTGTATCAGGAGTTATCAAAAAGAGACTAAAGTTTTAACAAAAGAAACAAAAGTTTTAAGTAACTTTTCAATGTATCAAATAGCGTGAAATAATTTATACGAAATTATGGAGAGTAAAAAAATCTGATCGTTAACAAAAAAAGTAAAAATTCGTATCGTATGTGTAACACTTATTTTATAAACAAATTTTTCAACATTCACCTTACATAATGGATACAATTTATCACAACGCATTTCAGATATTCCGTTAATCGAATAACGCGCTTCATCTTTTTTACTATTTTTCTCGAAGATAATTGCCTACACACAGAGCAGTAGATGCAATCAATATTCGATTACAGTGAAAAACTGTGTTCATTTATAAGTACTGCGAATCTATGGTGTTAAATTAATTATCGGTTTATTAAACCTTTAATTAGACTCAAAGACGCAATAAATCATCCGTCAATATCTAATTTATTTTCTACCTTGCGAAGGATCGAGCGTAACTACCGATAAAGTCTCGATCCATTTTTACGCGTAAAACTTGAAGAACGAAATTTATTAAAGCATTCTAGATTAGCACCATGGCGAAGAGAATGGTGCCTCGAGGAATTCGTATCTGCTTCTTCGCAAGGACGTTCCTGTAAGGCAAGGGTACAAGTTAATACTAAAATCCTACAGAAGTGAGACAGGAATTTTCATGAAACCAGCACTTGTAATCTGGAAGATCCGACAGACGACGAAGTCGACAATGCCCTTTCACGACGTCTCTCGTCTCAGTCTTTGCCTGGTGTCACGTGCAAAGTTGAGAGAACACGCTCGCTTGGGCTCCCAGTACGCCTTATTGCTCTTCAGCTCCTCAACAATTCTACCTTCAGAATCGTCGGCAACATGAATGTAGAATGAATTATCGTTCCTTCCATTTCTGATTTGACATCAAGTGAAACGTCTTCTTCGAGAAACTTACGACCATTATTCACGGGGATATCGTGACGCTGATACACATACACAAGATGTTATACACTTAATTAAGTATCAACGACAATTTAGCAGCGACGGAATAAAACAAATTTTAGAATTCAGATATCACGACGCAGACACAGATACACGAAATTGTATACAGTTAATTAAATATTAACGACAACTTAGCAGTGATAGAATAAAACATAAATTTTAGAAATTCGATATCGTATAATCATATACATAAAATCTGGCACAGTTAATTAGTATTAGTATTAAGTAACATCAACAATTTGACACTTCGACTGCCACGTCATCTACATATAGCTGGCACTTGAATATTTTTACGGATCTGTTATATTTAGAATTATTTAGAATTTTCATCTAGATGAAAATACAAATAATAAATACAACAAAATATTGTGAAAATATTCGGCAAGATTTATTAGAAAACCTAGTAATATTTTTAACTGATTTGGTATGGTAATCAATAAATAAGAAGTTTTAGGACTTGACTATTACTGTAATATTTGTTGAAGAACTTTACAGATAAAAGTCAATATGGTTCTTAAAAATTACTACGGGATTTTTAAATTTGTGGTACAAGCGTTTACTGTTGTAAAGACCGATTCTTTGATATTATTGATCTTTTTCCTTTTTTTAGGTGCAGTACAGCACTGTTAGAGATGAAATGATAGGTGTCGTATAAATAGAAACGAAAAATTATCAGTGGTTAACATAGCTACAGTAAATAAAAGAATAAAAAGGACAATGAGTAATGTTGTGAATCAATGATGGGCGATTACAAACATTTTCGAATATATTTTCATTAAGAGAGAAATTATTCATTATTTTCAAATAATTTCATTTCATTTTAAACTCATATTTGAAGATTATTCAAATACCTAATATGGAATTCTACAAATAAATAAATTAAATTACATTCTCCAAGTATACAAGCAAAATTACATTCCCTAAATAAATAAATCCATTCTCTAAACAAATAAATGAAGTTAAAATCTCTAAACAAATACATTTTACAATCTGTAAATTTACAAAAATAATATAAATTTTTTACACAAGACCACTCATCATATATCATCGAGTCTTTCCACATATTTTTCACATACATTTATCTCTTCCCGAAGCCAATTTCTTCGAGCACTTTCAAACATAAGTAATCTTCACCGTGTAAGAAGAAACCTTTCAACTGAATTGCTAGATCCGCTTCCATATCCAGATTTCGCGTTTGATGGACGAAAGCTGTAGCGAATTAAATTATTCAAGCATGTTCTGAATCCGTTTCTTCTGAGCAACTAGCATGTCAGAAAGAAACATCCACCATTACGCTTTTCCGTATCCATTAAACTTCACGAAGCAGGATATGAACACTCTCGTCCGGCCGATTTAAGATCTTTACACAGACCGTGAAGAATCAGCTGGCAAGAAGCGTAGCAAAATTATAATCCGACAGGATGAGAAGGCATCATACATGGAGTCATCTAGGGAGTCGTCTCTGTTGCGTGATTGCATATTAAGCATCCGGTGGCGGCGAACAACACAAGTCTTCACATCCAGAACGAGACGGATGCTTCGCAAGAATATACAGTTCGTTGCACAAATATATAAATCCCTCACACTTTCAATAATCTAAATTTTTGATAAGAAATTATAACCAGTATTCATTTACTACTAATTCGTAATGCACAAATAATAAGTTGTGTAAAACAAAATTAACATAAATATTAAACTAAATTTCATAAAACCTCATTTTTAGGAATCATTTAAATGTACCAATCCTTCATATTTTTAATGATATGAGCTTTTGATACGAAATTTGATTCCTTAAATATTAAGTAATAAACAGTAAGTTGTATAAAAGTTGGCGTGTTAAAAAATAAGCTTACATAAATCCTATTTTTCAGGTGTTTCATAAATACCAACCTCGCATATTCTCTTTATGTCGGCGTCAATTGAGTTTCATAAGCAAACAAATTCATTATGTTACCTTCATTCCTTTCATTCTATATTCATAAGATCCGTTTATAAAGGTTAGAAAGTGAAATTCATCGTGGAAAGGAATTTTCAGAGAGTGAAAAAGCCATGACCAACGCTTTTCGTATTAAAGCCAAAGGTTACGGCTACATTGCGAAGCAAATAGGTCGTTCAAAAAGTTCTATTGCTGATTACGTTAGTAGAAGACATAGTCATGGTGAGAAGAAGTGTTCAAGTTGTCTTCTAAGTGTCTGCTTGAGATAAACAAGAAAGCCACGATCACACATGATTGTAGCAATATCTTGACTATAAAATTTTCATTATTTCTTTATAACTTCCATTGTTATTATTGTTAAATATATTTCGGTATACGAATGGTGCACGCTGAGAGACGCAAAATGACATAGAAATGTTAATAAAATATTCCAATAACTAGCGATATTTACAAAAACTTAGCTAATTTATAATAAATTTATAAATAAATTATTTAATACATTGTAGATGAATCGAAACTTGCAATAGCTGGCACATGAAACAATGTTGGATACTTCTTGTATAAGTCTTGTATAAAATATAGTAAAAAGCCTGATAGTATTCCAAATCCAAGTTTCATTATATGATTCACATCGGTAATAACGAGACAAATTATTTGTCTACAATAAAGAATTATTTATTTATCTGTGTATCTCTTTTCACAGTGATAGTGTTGTACAATTTTATTCAAATGGTTAGAACATTTATAAAACACCAGAAAAATAGTTTCTATATAGATCAGCTGAATGTTTGTCAGTACACCAGATTTTTACATAATTTATTGTTTACAAACTACAAATTAATATTTATCGAATATTGACCATAATTTTCAGCTGAAAACTCAGATTGACAAAAGCACATAGGTTAGTATTTAGTATACTTATACAACGCACGATATTTATGACGCTGTCTGCATTTGTTTCTTTGTCATTTTCTAAGGAAGGCCATAACTTTAGTACTGTCACAATTTCTTTAATACAATACAATTCATAATAAACTTTATTAAACCTTCACAAATCTAAATTAAATGAATAGATGTTTAAATCTCAAGTGCTACGTATTTTATGTACAGTATATAGCCTGATTAGAAGCAATAATGTCAGAAAGATCAAAATCGTCAGTACACCAAATTTGTATATAATTTCTTGTTTACACACTACAAATTAGTATTTAACATATATTGGCCACAATTTCCAAAAACTTAGATTAGTAAAAACAAGGGGGGTATAGTAATGTACGGCGCTGTAGAAAGAGGATGAAGAGTAAACTTTCTCTCTCTGTACACGGTATCAAGGGTAAGGCGAATGGGTGAAAGAAGAGAGAATCGTTGGAGAGCGAGTATAGCAGGCAACGGTTCCTCACGAGCGACTAAAAGTTAAATTGCGTTCCACGACTGCACGGGAGTTCGGATTTCCGCTCGTGACTGAGTATTCCCAAAGCTATCCCACTCTGTTGCCTGCTTTCGCGGCATTGACGTTGAAATACGATTTAATTCTTCCACTTCGCACTTCCAGCAGACGAGGAAAGCGCTTCCGTGACGTGCTGCCGCCGCCCGGACGTCCGTACGGTTGCTTTGCTAGCAGGATGCCGGCCCTTCGAGCGCCGCCGTGCAGATGCAATCGTTCCTGCACACAGCTTGAACCTTCCTTCTCTCTTTCCAGAAAATCACCGACCTTCCGTCGGGGCTCGAACGACCCATAGATATAACCCGTTCGTTTCTTCGATCGGCTTTCGTCGAGCGATAACCCTCCAAAGCGATTTCTGGCATCAGTCTTCGGGCTTTCGCTTCAATCGATCGCTATATCCCTCGCGTGCCTCCTCGATCACCCTTCGCTCATTCACCATGTGATTTTTCAACGAA